CCCTCCACCCCCATCCCCCCCTTCCTCGGTCCGGCCTCGGGAGCGACGCGCATGCGCAGTCCTCGGGCTAGCCCAGGCGCACCTTTTCTCGCTCCTGCCACTTTGTGAGCGCTCTGCCGTGCAGATAACCACAGACTCCCCTCCCCGCCCCGCCCCCGCCCCCGCCCTCGCCCACTCCGCCCACTCCTGAGCGCCCAGGTAAAGGCGTGGGCTGCGCATGCGCGCCACTCCCTTCGGGTCGGGGTGTCCTTGCTGAAAGGAAGCCAAACCGCGAAGTGGGAGGGAGCTGTGAGTGGGGGGTGTGGGATTCCACGAAATGGGTAGGGGGGATAGTTAGCACGAGGGAGAGGTAAAGGGGAGAGAGGGGGCAAAAGTTAAAAAGTGGGTCGAAGTGCTCGTGGAATAAAGTTTAAAAATCTTGACTGCTGGCCTGCTTTTTACAGGAGAGCAGTGTGAACGACAGAGGACAGAAATAAAAGAGGCAACATGCAAGTAGTAGTGGTCGTTCACCGGATGAATGGGACAGCTAATAAAACTGGAGCAATTTACAGATTGCCAGGGTGGTCAGAAAAACAGATTTAGAGTCATGCTTGTCTTGTGGCCAAGAATAGGAAAGGGTGTGTGTGTGTGCGATCCAGAGTGGCTGCAAGAAAGGAACCCTCCATTCTAAGTATTGCAGCATTATGACTAATTAGCTATTAATCATTAATATAATTAATGGTACTATTAGCTAACAAGGTAGCATTTATCCAAGTTCAGAGCCAAGAGAGACAGTCCATAATTGAAAGTGCTTAGGGAGTCAGGGAGAAGAAATGACTTAGTGAGGTGAAGGCCTAGGGTAGAAAGGACCCAGGGTAACAACCCCCCGGGTCAGAATGACCCTCTCCCACCATAAACCAAACTTCCCAGAAGTTGTCCCAGTCTTATCTTAATTGGAACGCCTTCCATTATTAAAAGCACACACACTCAACTGATATTCTTGGACTAAACCTGACCTCAACACCACATGAACATTTTCAATACGAATATAGTTACTTCCCCCAAAATGGCAACTCCCTCCCCAAAAAATATCCTGCAGGGAATAAAATGACCTGAGTCTGGGACAAAGTTAAGAAAGAGATTGAAACTTTATGAAGGGGTCCAAGAGCTGACTCTGTCCTTGGCCCCTTCCAAAAACAGATGCTTGGGTTTTATTACCCTTGGCCTCCAGATCCCAGAGATCATAGTTTTGGCAACTTTGGTTTTGTTCTTCAATAGTAAGTGTTTTCAGTGAGTGAACACTAAAAATTGTATTTCAGCAGGTAGAGTGACAATCTTCAGGCAGAACAGGAGAAAGGAAGCATAAGTAATAAAAGAGAAAACAAAGTCAGTGTAAGAAAGAACCTGGCAGGGTCCGGGATTGAGCTCAGTGATGCCATGCCTGCCTCTCAAGGACAAGATCCTGAGTTCAATCCCTGGTACTAAAAAAAAAAAAGAAAGAAAGAATTTGGGACTCTAGGAGACCAAGGCGATTTGTTCCATTCCCCATGAGGAGTAGCCTTCTGGTCCAGGGGTCCTGCTTGGAAGAGGCATGTGCAGCAGAACACAGTGACCTTCCAAGAGCTGTGACTGCACTCGAAGCCCACTCTGCAGGGCTCCCAGGCACCAAGGTGATAATAATACGACTTTCTATTTGAAGAGTGCTTTAGGGTTTTTCGCAGGGAAGTTGTGTCCTTATCTCATCAGATCTTCCACCAGTCCTGCAGGGCAGACAGGACAGGTACTATTCCCAATTAAGGAAATTCAGTCCAAGGAATGTTTGAATAGCCCAGACAACAATGAAGCCAGCCAGCTCTGAAAAACTGCCACATATTCTTGTGAACTGAAAACAGGTTTCCTGATGGAGCTCTACTTCTGCATCTCCTTTGTTTTTGGTTTTTTCCCTCTCTGGACCCCTGGAACTTGCTCTGTGGAGCTTGGTGACTGGTGCTTGGGAAGGCTCTGGGCCTCCACCTGGCCAGCAAGGTCCCCTTCCGGAGATTCCAGTTCCTCTATTCCCTTCTACTCTTTCCCCTCCACTTGCCTACCACAAGGAAGGGGCTGCCAACCAAATCATTAATTCAATAAATCACTAGGGAAGGGCTGCTTCCAAGGCCACCCTCGATCAGGCTGTTGACACCGTAGCTTGGCAGTCATCACAGGCAACTTTGAGCACCCACATCTGGCCTTACTGGAAGACTAGCTTTGTTGTCCTGATTGCCTGGCCTTGAATAGCTTTGCACTAACTTTTTTCATTACACAGTGGGTAGAAATGAGCAGAACTCCCCCTTTTAATTTAAAAAATTGTCTTAAAAAGTTCTGCACTCTTTGAGAGTCCTTCAGACGTTTTTAACATTTAAGTTAAACAGCAGCAGAGATTCTGATTACGGTAAGATGAGCTAGATGCCTGATTCAAGCTCACTCAAGTCTTAACTCCCTAGCTGGATGTGGTGGTGTAGGCTTGTAATTGTGGTGGTGCAGGGCTCTGGGAGGCAGAGGCAGGAGGATCTCAAGTTTGAGGCCAGCCTCAGAAACATAGGAAGACTTTGTCTCAAAATAAAAAAAAAAATTTTTTAAAGGAATAAGGATGTAGCTCAGTGTGAAAGGCCTGGGTTTGACTCCTAGCATGTACTTACGTAGAGGCCATGGTTAAGGCTCACTGCTTGTCCATCAGTTAATATAACCCTATCCTACAGCTCCATACAGGAGCCAGAATCCTGGCCACGACCACCTACTTTCTCATTCTTGACCTCCGCTCAATCATTTCATCTTTTAGGCTTTGTTAAGGGGGGGGGGGGCAGTTTCTGTGGCTCTTAGCCATGTCCAGATCTGACAGCTAGGGGTCCACTCTAGAAACCTCATTGTGTTCCTTCCTAATTGCAATTCCATTCTTCCCTAAGAATCATCCAATTCTCACCCCTAAGCCCTTCCTAAAGGAAACTCTCTTTTACAAAAGGGACAAAGCTTTCCCAGATTCTCCCTTTTTATTCACGTTTTCTTGTCTGTGATGGTGTCCAGAGACAGCTAGAAAGCTGGGCTTCCTTGGCTTTTGGGTCATAGGGTTTGTGTGTGTGCCACACTTGCACAGTTCACACTTATGATGCACCTTGACTCTTTTTTTTTTGGTACCGGGGATCGAACTCTGGTTCTTGCGCTTACGCAGCAGGCAGTGAAACCACTGAGCTAAATCCCTGGCCCACCTTGACTCTTTTGAATGCTGGTGAAAACCTAAATGTCAAGGTGGCCTGGAAGAAACATAGAGGATGCACTAAAGGGCAAGATATATTCCTGCAGCTGCTGAGATAGGCGACAATCCTCCTGCCTCTGCCTCCTGAGTGCTGGGATCACAGGCATGCACCACCATGCCCGGTTGCTAATTTTCTTTAAAAGTTTGTTTGACAATGTCTACAAATTTTTCTTTTGCATTAACTTCATCTAATCCTTCTTTCAACTCAGAGATAGGAAGGACAAAAACTGGTCTCACAATTTTTTTTTTAACAGCCAATAAAAATGAGTCCCAAGGCCAGAAATAGAACCTGGGTTTCCAGGGTCCAAGTCCAGGATTTCTCGGTGACACCATACTGTAGCCCTTTGCTGGACACCATACAAAGCAAATCGAACAGACGTGTTCTCTGCCCTCTGAAAGTTTGGGCTCAGATGGACAGCCAGGACATTGGCAAACATGAAAGGTCAGAGCGATTTATAGTCAGCTCGAACATGCCAATGAATAAATGGATTAAGCAGGCAAAAAAAGGCAAGTTTCCGGGGTCTACAAATGTTCTTTCCATTCCAGTCAGTAGAAAGGGCAATGTTAATGGGACTACGGTCTTGGGCCGGTCACATTCTGTCTACTTACCTTTGTATATGGAAAAACAATTGTAACTGAACTGTTAACACCCATCTTCACTGTTCTAGGAAACTTGCTTGTAAAGAATCAAAGGTAGGAGTCCAGAGCCATTAAGAAATCATCTTCAATTTAACTCAGTGGTTCTGCCATCTCCCTCAAAAGCTCAAGGTCCTGAGT